CATCTGACTTTGGCCCAAACCAAATGTATTTTCATTTATTTTAGTTCATTTCTTCTGTTTCAGTTAATTCATTTATAGGGCATTGGGACTTCATGTGACTACTTTGGGCATCTTTTATTTTTAAGAATTTATGATTTATAAAAATGATTATAGCATTTATAGTTTCAAAGGAATTTCATATATATTTTCTTAATTGTTTTAAACTTTTCAAAATGTACATAAGGCTAGGATTTCTATTATTATTAAATCTTACAGATGAGAAATGAAATGTATCTAACCAATGGCTAAGCCAGAAATGGAACCTCAGTCTTCTAACTCTAAACGGTATTATAATATGCTTTACCACTAGAAATCTGATTTATTATTTTAGTTGACCAAATTAATACTTTTAAAGAACATACTGTCAAGTTACTTTTTCTCACTGCATGAAAAAGCCAAATTGAACAGTAAGTATAAATTCTCTTATCTTTCAAGGTATTGGAAGGCTTAAGTTTTCTACAAAATAAAAAGTGTGTATTTTTTCTTTTTTTCTCATATCTTTTCTAAACTACCATTTAAAAACATTTCTATTTCTGCATTTCCATTGGTCACTCTCATGTGCTTGTTGAATTTGGTAATCCTGTTTGAGACAGCTCCTTTAACAATGCTGTCACAGTTCAGGGAGCCTTGGCATGACATACGTAACCCTTCTGTATGGTATTCTCTCTGGCATTATATTCTTACATTACATTCTCTCTGGCATTGCATTCTTTCACTTTCCATTTTGTACTTTTCTCTCTTGCTTTATTTGTATGTAGTGTTCTGAAGTCCAAGTAACAAAATGTCATTTGGAAGTTTTGTGAATTATTCGTAAATTACATAAATATGTTTGTAAGGAGTTACTGAATTGTTCGTGATGGTGATCCATGAAATAACTAAGAAAATTTGTTTGATGTTTAATGATTTCAGCCAATGAAAAAGTATAGAAAACAGTATAACAGACACCCATTTACCCATCACACAAATGTCATAGAGATTGACGTTTTGTAATATTTAGGAGTTTTTTTAAGTAAATAAAAAATTACAGATACAGCTAAGGTCATACATAAATAACTGCTATTCCTTTTTCTCCATTCCATTTCTTCACCTCTTAACCTACATGGTAACTATTATCCTGATGTTATTTATTATCCTTATGCATGGTTTTTATTCTTTTGTTTGACGTATATATATATACTAGCAGCATATAATCATCTTTTGTGTATTTTAAAAAATATACATTAATGTCTCACTGAGCCTTAGTATTCTGCATTGTAAATAATTGTTTTAATAATTGTACAAGTAGATCTATTTATTTTCCTAACAATAGACAATTAGATTATCTCTATTTTTGTCAGTTATGAATACATACAAACAGTACTACAGTGAACAGTTTTATACATGCCTTTTTGAGCACTTGTATGTTTCTTGGATAGATATTTAAAAGAGGAATTGCTGGATCATCTAGACCAGTGTACACGATCTTTAACTTTACTAGGCATTTCCAAATTGCTCTCCATATCTTCCCAGCACACTGTGTTGAAAAGACTCTCCTTTGTCTACTGTGCTGCAATGTCACCTTTGTCATAAATCAAGGAACTGTATACGTGTCAGTCTGTTTCTGTGCTTTCCATTCCACTGGTTATATATGTATATTATTGTGCCAAATCACACTTCTGTAATTACTATAGCATTATAATATTGAGTCATCCAGTCCATGAACATGGTATATTCCTTCACTTAATTAGGTCTTCTTTAATTTCTTTCGATAATGTTGTATAGTTTTCTGTGTAGAGTCTTGCTCATTTTGTTAGATTTATTCCTAGGTATTTGATTTCGTTTGATACTATGGTAAATTGTATCATTAAAAATGTTTTATTTTGGATTACAGGTTGAGCATTCCTAATCTGAAAATCTAAAATCTGAAATGCTCCTATGAGCATTTCCTTTGAGCATCATATTGTTGCTCAAAAAGCTTTGGATTTCAGAGCATTTTAGATTTTATTTAGAATGCAAATATTTCAAGATCCAAAAAACTGAAATTGGAAACACTTCTGTCCCCAAGTGTTTTGGATAAGTGATATTCAACCTGTATTTGTTGCTAAAATATAGGGGAAAAGTTGATTTTTGAATACTGAACTTGTATCTAAAGTTCAGTTTTTAAAGATTTCCTTGGATTTCCTGGGAGCACAATCATGACATATAGGAATAATGAGTTTTATTATTTGCTTTCTAATCCTTATACCTTTTATTTTTATTTCCCTTTCCTGCCCATTTTTTTCTTTTCTTTTCTTTTTTTTTTTTTGAGATGGAGTCTCGCTGTGTCACCCAGGCTGGAGTGCAATGGCGCGATCTCAGCTCACTGCAAGCTCTGTCTCCTGGATTCACGCCATTCTCCTGCCTCAGCCTCCTGAGTAGCTGGGACTATAGGCGCCCGCCACCATGCCCAGCTAATTTTTGTATTTTTAGTAGAGACGGGGTTTCACCGTGTTAGCCAGGATGGTCTCGATCTCCTGACCTCATGATCCACCCGCCTCAGCCTCCCAAAGTGCTGGGATTACAGGCATGAGCCACCGCATCCGGCCTCATTTTTTTCACAAGTGAATGTTGAATTTTTTCAAATGCTTTCTCTGTGTTATTGGAGATAATTGTATGGTTTCTTTATTCTGTTAATGTGGTGAATTACATTGATTGGCCTTTGAATATTAAACCAACTTTGTATTTCTCGAAAGCTCTAAGTGGTTTATATAACCTTAGATTGACTTATTAATAGTTTGTTAAGTTTTGCATGTATATTTATGGGTGAAATTGGTCTGTAATTTTTCTTGTAATGTTCTTATCAGGTTTGGATATCAATGTTCTTGATATCCAAATCTGAAATTATTTGGGAAAAATTCTTGTTTTGTTCACTAGAAGAATTTTTGTAATATTGGTGCTATTTCTTTCTTAAATGTTTGCAAGAATTCAGTAGGGGTGTTCTCTGCATTTAGAGTTTTTCTTGTGGGCTTTTACAAGTTTAATAAATGTAGGATTGTTAGGTTTTCTATTTCTTGAGTCATTTTGTGATTTTTAAAAAAGGAGATAAAGACATATTAAAAAAGAGATTAAAGAGATATAAAATATTTGATCATGTCAATATTTGATTATTTTATGACAGGCTTATTTTTTAATCTCTGTAGAATTCATTTTGTTTTTATCATTAGTTTTATCATTGTTTTATGACATGCTTATTTTTTACTCTCTGTAAAATTCATTTTATTGTTATCATTAGTTTTATCATTCTGCTTATATGAAGCTACTTTCCAGGTTCTTACTGTGTTAAGCTCTTTCTGTCACAAGAAACAGATATACTCAAGTTCAAGTAATGGAGATGTATTAGGTGCAATATAAAGCCATATGGTGCCATAAGAGAAAGGAATTACACAGGAAGAGAAGGATCTCTAGCACAGTTTGGCATTAGGGAGACTGGAAATGTGTAGCTAATTAGAATACGATACAGCTTTAGGGGTGGAACAGGTTTTCTTTTTATCCCCCATTAGCAACACTTTATAAGGCTTTACTTTGATACCCAGTTGTTTATGTGAAGTTTCTCACTTCATTTTGGCTTTTATCTTTCCTTCCTTTCATTACTAACTATCCTCTTTACCCCTGGTCTAAATAAGTTTTCATCATACCTTTTATTTTCTCATAACTACTTACTCATGATCCCTGGTGCCTTGTGGCCTGTTTCTGTGATTCTTTTTAGCCTCTCTTCAAGCTACCAGGTAACTGAACCTCTCTCATTCTCAGTTAACTCCCAAAAGATTATTTGATTGGCCTAGTTTGAGAAGCTTTTATGCTAGGCCCATTGGCTGGTTCTGGCTTTTTTTTTTTTTTTTTGAGATGGAGTCTCACTTTCACCCGTGCTGGAATGCAGTGGCGTTATCTTGACTCACTGCAACCTTCACCTCCTGGATTCAAGCGATTCTTGTGTCTCAGCCTCCTGAGTAACTGGCATCATCACACTCAGCTAATTTTTGTACAGTTGGGGTTTTGCCATGTTGGCTAGCCTGGTCTCGAACTCCTGGCCTCAAGCCATCCACCTCCTTGGCCTCCCAAAGTGCTGAGATTACAGGTGTGAGCCACCATGCTTGACCGGCTTGGCTACTCTTGACCAGGCAGCTATTGCCAAAGGGTGGGATTCACATAGCACAGAGCATGGATGCCCTGGGCTAACTCCTCTGCCAAGGGCTGTATTTGGACAATTTCCCTTAGCAGGGGTGTGTACCTGGAAAATACTATAATTGATCAATACAGAGAAGTTCTAGAAAATTAAGTTGTTGCAAGAGTTATAGTTCTGCCTCCTCCACATGCTCTGGTGAATGCTAGTAAATAATTAAATGCTGATAAACCAATGTCTAGAATTTGATGTTATAAATATCTTTTAATAGTCATCTACCTGTAACTGAAAAATTGCTGTCAAAAATTATATGTGCTGCCAACCCCAAATAGGGCCGTGGGCAATTGGATATGTAATACCTGTTGTTTTAAGATGGACAAATGAAAATTGATAGACTTTAAACATAAGCAATAGGTAGAACATGCACATAGGCAGATTAAAAAATGCTTAATGAGAAAGCCATAGCAGTTATCCACTTCTGGTCTTATTTCTTTTTAATACCCAGGAACAGCTGTGTGTACTGCTAAGAATTTATTTTTCTGCAGTATCACACAGTTCAGGTTGAAGGACTCTATTTAAAAGCAGGACAAAAAACCACCTTCTATTTTCTGTTTTCTTTGCAACTGTGGCCATGAGTCACAGTTCTGGTCAGTGAAATGTAAGTGTTCTGGGAGGATCCTGGATTCCGGAGGACCGCTTTCCTTTTGTGATATTTATGCTGCAAAGTAATGTTTTGCCTAATGCCTTTCCATTTAGAGACAGTTGTGGATATTATCTAAAAACGTTTCTGGTACAATAAGTGAAATTCCTTTCTAATTTTTAGGAGGACTCAGAGAGAGTAATGATAATTACTGGACCAAACATGGGTGGAAAGAGCTCCTACATAAAACAAGTTGCATTGATTACCATCATGGCTCAGATTGGCTCCTATGTTCCTGCAGAAGAAGCGACAATTGGGATTGTGGATGGCATTTTCACAAGGTAAGTATGTTAATTCAGTTTGAATATATTCTTGAAAATAAGTCAAACCCACATTATCACATGAATTTTCCTTTTGTGTACATATTTAGATGCTCTTAAAGCATTCAGCATTTAGGAAAGGTCGGGCACGGTGGCCCACACCTGTGATCCCAGCATTTTGGAGACCAAGGCAAGAAGATCACTTGAGTCTAGGAGTTTGAGAGCAGCCTGGGCAACATGGAAAAACCCCATCTTGACAAAAAATCAAAAAATTAGCCAGGAACCTGAGGTGGGAGGATCACCTGAGGCTGGGGAGGTTAAGGCAACAGTGAGCCAAGGTCACACCATTGCACTCCAGCCTGGGCAACAGAGTGAGACCCTGTCTCAAAAAAAAAACCAAAAAGAAAAACTATTTTTATCATGACTGAGAATACTAGAAAGAACTTAGGAGTTAATTTTGTCCAGTAGTTTCCAAATTATTTCTAGTTATTGAGTTCTTTTTTATTTTATTTATTTATTATTATTATTATTATTATTATTATTATTATTATTATTTTGAGATGGAGTTTGGCTCTTGTTGCCTAGGCCAGAGTGCAGTGGCACTATCTCGGCTCACTGCAAGCTTCACCTCCCCAGTTCAAGCTATTCTCCTGCCTCAGCCTCCCGAGCAGCTGGGATTACAGGCACCTGCCACCACGCCCGGCTAATTTTTGTATTTTTAGTAGGGACAGTGTTTCACCAGTTGGCCAGGCTAGTCTCGAACTCCTGACCTCAAGTGAGCCGCCCGCCTTGGCCTCCCAAAGTGCTGGGATTACAGGCATGAGCCACCACACCCAGCTGAGTTATTATTTTGAAGAAAACCTTTTGTAGAAAATAAATATTTAAACAGATAAAAACAGATCTGCTCTGTCTTCCAGGGGTAGAAGGCTTGGAGACTTGGCTGTTAGGCTTTGTAGAGCACAGTCTGAAAACTAGTCTATCCTTCCCATTTTAGGTGCAGACCTGAGACAAACTGCAAAAGGCATTGGACCAAGATCATTTTGTTGATATCCCTTTTTACTCTACGAACATTACATGCAACTAAGTCTTACTCTCAATGTGTAAACCTAAATTTTATGCCATGTTACGAATATGAGTGAAACATCCTGGTTTCACTAAGGAGAATTCACAGTTTAATCTGTTTAACACCTTCTGATTTATCAGTTCTTAAAGCATTGTGTATATGTCTTACATGTACATTTCTAAAAAGTAAATACAGTCTCTGTGCATAGTCAAGCTCTGTGTATAGAGTGTCTGAGTTGTTGTCCAGCTACGTATTTATGTAATATTTGACTATGGAATCACATCAGAATATATCACATGCTAATATTGATATTCTTGAGTAGACACTAAAATGCTTTAAAACTTCATTTTCCATCTGAGAATGAACAAAGTACCCTGAATTCTGTTTGATGCCGTGTCACCAAATAGGTGTTATTCTGATCCCCATATACGTTTAACTCAAAATAAGAAATTTAAAGAGTCTTTCTTTAGTTCTTAAGGCTGTAATTCATTTTCTATTTTATAAGAGAAACAAACCAGGTATTTTGTTTTGGTTACAGTATTAAGGAAAGTAACAGAGATATTTAGTGAAGAAAAAAAAAGAGAAAAAAGAAAAAAATTATTGGTCAATATAAGGGGATTTACCTGGAAGGGAATCTTGTTACTGAGCGGAATATCAAGATTGTTTGTAGATACAAGTAAAAGAAGGGTTTATTTTTGTCATATAAGGAGAAGGCTGGAGGTGGGTAGCTGCTTCTGGTGTTTCAGTGGCTTTGCCATTTCACTGGCCTTTCCCTCGGAGTTATAAGATTGCTGCTGCAGCTCCAGGCATCACATTCCTATTCACATGAGGTAAAAAGGAGATGGGACTGCCATAGCTTTCCACACTGCCCCTCTGTTTGTTTTTGTTGTTGTTGTTGTTTTGTTTTGTTTTAGGACATCAGTAGGTTTTTAGGATCCTCCCAGAAAACTTACATTTCAGTGACCAGAAGTATGTCTCATGGCCGTAGTTGCAAAGAAAACAGAAAATAAGAACGTGGTTTTTGTCCAGCTTTTAAATAGAGTTAAGCACAGTAATTGGGAATACAATCAGTGGTAATCAGAAAATAGTTTCTGTCATAGGGTGTGAAATCAGTAATAATAGTAACAGCTAAACTTTATGATATCTTTATATTAGTATAATATTCTTATCAAGGTACAGGCACTGTTATGTGCACCTTATATAGAGTACTTTATGTAAAGTACATTCAGCGAGTACATGTCTAAGCGTTCCAAACTATGCTAATTTCAAGAAATTGGAGCATTTATTCATTCATCCAACATGTACTAAATGAATACCTAACATATGGCAGTCACTGAGAATACAAAGGAACCACAGTTTTTGATTTCATGAAAGCTACCTAGTGGAGAAAATCAGCATTAACCAAATAATCACATGCAGAAATGTGAAACTGCAGCTATGACAAGTCTATGAAGGCTATATGCAAGATGCTGGGTTAGGCTGTGATCCTGGGATATGACCTGGTTAGGGACGTCAGGGGAAGGCTTCCCTTAGCAAGTAACTTTTGAGTGCCTATCTGAAGGATGAGTGTAAGAAGGAAGGAAGAACATTTCAGAGAGATCATGTGCAAAAGTCCTTTAGCATAAAAAACGTAGACAATGCGTGAAGGCTGGTCCTCCAGGAGAGTAAGATTCTAGGTGAAGCATAGCCATGTTAGGAGTTTATCCTAAGAGCCATGGTAAACTGTTGAAGAATTTTAACCAGGATTTTGCATGATTATGTCTGCATTGGTTACACTGTAAAGAATGTCTGGAGAAAAAACCAAGTAGATCAGAGGAACCCAAAGAGCAGGCTCTTTTGGTGGTCCTGGTGAGAGGATCAGTAGCTTGGATTAAGTTTGTAGTGCTAGTTTAAGTGGAAAGGAGTCATATTTGAAATATATTTGGGAAATAAATCACCAGGACTTGGTGATATATGGGGGTATGGCAGCTGAGATACATGGAGTTGTCAGAGATGACATTGAGTTTGTGCTTCTGAATGGTAAATGCTGGCATTTGCTAGAAGAGGATGATGTTTTTTCATAGATTCTGACTTTATCTTTGTATATAATAAGTAGAATTATTCTGAGACATTCAAAGGGAGCTATTATGTAGTAGGCAGTGGATATAAAGTTTAGATTTCAGAGACAGAGATCAAAGGTAAAGATGTAAATTTGTTGTGAGACATTTTTGTGTACATGATTGGGTGTGGATGAGATCATTTTGACAGAGAGTATAGTGGAGAAGATTAATGTTCTGAGACTGAACCTTAAAACTGCCGAGATTTCATAGTTGAGTAAGAAGTTAAGATTGAAAACCAACAAAAGAAGTGTAGCCAGAGAAGCAGGAGAAAAAACAGGACATTATAGTGTCACGGGAGCAAGGGAAAAGAGTGCTTCAAGAAGAAAAGAAGTGGTCAACAGTGCTGAAAGGTTAGGTGAGGTGAAACCTGAAAAGTCACCTTTGGTCTTAGCAAAATAACTGTCACTAATGACCTTAGCAGGAGCTGCTTTCGCGGAGTGGTGGGGCCACACTCCAGTTAAAAGAGAGCTAAAGAGTGAGTTAGAGGTCAGGAAGTAGAGGGCGTTAGTACAGGTGATACTGCGAAGGCTGGCCAGGAAGAAGGCAGGAGAGATCCAGTGAGGGGCTTGTTTTGTTTTTAAATGGTAGACTTGAATGTATTTCAATAGGATATCCAGTGGGATATGTTATACCCAAGAATTTATGATTCTAAAAAAAACAAAAAATTAATTGATCACCTTTGGAGGATCCTAGAATGAATCCTAATGATATTTAAAATAAAAATATCATTAGTCACTTTGGAGGATGAAAACTGAAAAAGAGAAAGATCCAAGCAGGTATCCTATCTTTTCAAATAGGTAACAGGGGGAAGTTTCTCTTTATAGAAATGTTCTAGCTAATAAACAAAGCAGGAATAAGAATTAGAGTATCACGCTTTTTGCAACCCCAATGTGATAACAGATTTAAGTAATAATCAGAAATGGCTGCTAATATCACCAAAGAACAGTCAGTCAGACATTAGGTAAAAGTTTGTGACAACTTATGATGTCTTCTGGGCCAAAAAAATCAAACCGAATAGTCAGGCGCAGTGGCTCAGGCTTGTAATCCCAGCACTTTGGGAGGCCAAGGCGAGTGGATCACCTGAGGTTAGGAGTTCAAGACCAGCCTGGCCAACCATGGCCAACATAGTGAAACCCGTCTCTACTAAAAATGTAAAAAATAGCCAGGTGTGGTGGTTAGCACCTGTAATCCCAGCTACTCCAGAGTCCGAGGCAGGAGAATTGCTTGAACCAGGGAGATGGAGGTTGCAGTGAGCCAAGATCACGCCACTGCACTCTAGCCTAGGCAACAGAGGGAGACTGTATCTAAAAAAAAAAAAAAAAAAAAAAAAATCAAACTGAAACTGTTCAGACCTCTAGATCTAGATATCAATTTACAAGAGAAAAAGAGAATAGAGGAACATGTTGAACACCACCATGGGGATACTGTCAGCAAAATCTAGACTGTGGGAAACTATAGGACAAATGGCTGGTGTTTTTTTTAACAAATAAATAGCAATGACAAAAAAAAAAAAAAAAAAAAAAAATAGTTGGGGAGAGAGGGAAGAGAACCTGCATATTAAAAGAGAGTTAAAGACCAGTCACCCAGTTCCAGCATACAGATCTTAATTCAGTCCTGACTCAAACACATAAACCTTTGTTTCAAAGCACTAGTGAAACATTTAAAAATTTTTGAGCACTGACTAGATATCTAATGATACTGAAGAATTACTTTAAATGTTTAAGTGAGATAAATAGTGCAATGCAATGGTTATGATTTAATAGAAAAATCCTTACTTTAGTGATACATGCTAAAATGTTTACATGTTACATGATCTGCTACCCAATATTTACATCACAGTAATCAAGGATGGATAGGGAAATTTGGTAGGATAGAGATGAAATGAGACTGGCCATAATTGATAATTGTTTGAGTTTGATAATGGCTACATTGGAGTTGCATTATGCATTTTTCTTTGTTGTACGTCTTTGGATTTTTTATAAGTTTTTTTTTGTTGTTGTTCTAAAGTTCATGGGATTTAGCCATTTGAGAAAGAGACGAGATCTTTGTGTAGGATAGGCATCGTTTGAAACTGTGGGTATGAAATCAGTGCATTGAATTGCAATTAGCATTTTGGGGCAATACTTCCTAGATTGTGCTTTGTGTACCACATCATAGCATATCAGGATGCAACCAATATCCAGTTGACCCAAATAAGCTTTAAAAAAAAAAAAAAAAAAAATGCAGTAGAATGGAGTAGAAGAAAAGATATCAAAATCATTCATTTATAGCATGTGGCATAGAGGTGGAGTTATGCAATAAGAAGGCCATTACATTTTCATGTCATCAGTAATGATATAAAGATTATAATGGTATTAGGAGATGTTAACATTGGCCCAATAATGAGATTTAAACTCTGTTGTGCTAAAAACATATATATATTTTGAGATGGAGTTTCGCTCCTGTCACCCAAGCTGGAGTGCAATGTCATGATCCCAGCTCACTGCAACCTCTGCCACCTGGATTCAAGCTATTCTTCTGCCTCAACCTCCTGAGTAGCTGGGATTACAGGCACCCACCACCACGCCCAGCTAATTTTTGTATTTTTAGTAGAGATAGGGTTTCGCCATGTTGGCCAGGCTGGTTTTGAACTCCTGACCTCAGGTGATCTGCCCGCCTTGGCCTCCCAAAGCACTGGAATTTCAGGTGTGAGCCACCACACCCCGCCAAAAACATGTTTTTATTAAAACCTTAGTGCACTATAATTTTATGCTAGACGTTAGGGATACAAACCTGAATAAGATAATTTACCTGTCTTTAAGGAGCTCAAGTGCAGTAAGGGAGATGGAGAAGCAAATCTTTACAATTTGGTAAGACCATGCAATACTAGAGAAGTGTATGTGTGTATGTGTTTATTTGCTTGCTCATTCATTCATTCATGCTTATCCTGCCATCTTCCAGAAAGGGGTGAGGCAGCTTGCAGAAAATTCAAACTAGCATAAGTGAATAAATAAGGATGAGGGCTTAAAATGGAGCCACGACTGAGGCTTAAAACATCAATGCCTAACACTGCTGTGGATAAGCCATAAATCTGGTTCAGAGGTTTCCACAAAGCTAAATTTGTTCAGTTAAATAGTTCACAGGGCCCAGAAAACCAAATGAATTAATTAGTTAAGAAGAGAACTTAAAACAAATTTTTATTGTGTTTGACAGCAATCTTTTAGTAATAAAATCAGCTAGAAGAATATATTGGGTAGTATCACATAGACCAGGTTTTACTGGGTCCTGTTGGTTAGAGTTTAGGAAACAAATGTTCGATTATGTTATTCTTGGATCACAGGCTCCACTGAGACAGAAATGGTGCTTGTTCTGCATACCTTTGATCCCCTATTCCTAGTACTAAGTAGATGTGCAGTAAATATTTGTTTAAAAACTGACAATAAAAAATTGTAATATAAATAAGATGTGTTGACATAACTCCTGTTTCTTAGTCCAGATTTCTGGAATTTGACTGAAACATCCCCTTGTGATTCAAGCACCATCTGAAATAGTATATTGGAGCTTCACTAAGTTTTGCCACAGGACTCAAAAAGTCATCAAATTTCTATGTAAGGTTCAGTCTTACAAAGAAAACACTTAAGTTTAGGTATGTGGCAGAGTAAGTTATTAATACACAGGGAAAGAGCAAAAGTTCCAGTGTCATGGAGGTGGAGACTAATCATGGAGATTAGTCTGTCCTGACAACACTCTGTGTACCAGTGCACCTTTGTGATGCTGAGTAAGAGGAGATTTGTACTTCATGAAGGTCCAGGTTAAGCTTAGTTGCTCAATCTGGACTCTGGTCCCTAAAGTGGGAAGTCTCAGGCAAATCTGAGTATCAGACCATGCCAGCAATTCAACTCTCTTAACCTGCTTCTTTCTCTATAAGATGGGATAATCATGATACTTATATTCCAGGGTGTTGTTGTGTAGTTTAAATAATGCATATGAAACAATCTAGTACCTGACATATAATAGTTCCTCGGGAATATTAGTTATAATTTTAAGTCCCATCTCTATGACACTTACTCTGACCATTTCATTCCACAATGGTCTATTTATGGTAAACTCCTAATGTCCTATTTATTTGGACTCTGAGTTATTTCAGTATCTATCTTAGTTCATAACTGGTTATCCCATGCCATCATGCTATTGTTCACTATTTGAGGGAAAGAACTCTACTCCATTGTGTATCCCCTGTCCCACTCAGGATGGCAGTAAGTATAGCTATTAATATAAATTAAAATCAATCAGAAATGAAATTATTTTCACATTTATGTTACATTGTTTTCACTTCATCCTGGAAGTTTTCATTAGTCTGAAACATACCCAGAGATACTAATCCCATATTTCAAAATTGACCACAACTTCAAAGCATTAATTAATTAATAAAGAATTACATGTGCCAGTTTAAAAAGAAATATGCAGATTATGGAGATTTAAATACTGAAATATGGGACATATTCCTGTGCTCTGCCATTCGAGTAGCTGTTAGTTTATCAACCTTCAGGTCATGTTTGTAGAAGCAGTCTGCCATAGGCCCTGTGTCCCTGCGTATTCTTACTGAGTATATCAAGAAAGCCCCGATTTTTTTTTACATGGGCCACTTATTTGTCAGGGTTGTGCTTGCAGCAGACAATCTGGAGGGATAAGTTAATTCCTCCTTATGTTGTATGCTGTACATACAACAAGTTTGCTTCCCTTGTTGTATGTACAACATCCATGGTACGTCATCCTCACAGGACTTGGGGGCTAATGCAAACCAACATGAGTAATAAAGTCTTTTGTCTCTGACTCAGTGGCCTTGTATCTTCTGCTGGCATCTGTGAAACCAGTGGTATTAGGGTAATTTGTTAGCTTTTAAGTAGAGTAAAATCCTAGACTTTACACAGTTTTTAATAGGTCAATAGGATTCTCAGATCTCTTGCTAATATTAATTACCTGCAAAATGTGAGTAAACCAGCTGTGTATGGGAAAGAATGGGGGCTTTAGATCTAGAAAACTCAAGATTCTGTACAAGTTCTTCAGCATCCTGGCTATGTGCGAGTTACTTCATCCTTCTAGAACCCTGAGAGAAGTACTGTGCCATAGTCAAAAGAATCAGACATGTTATATATACTTGAGTACAAATCTTGCTTTTCCCTTTTAACAACTATGTGACCTTTTTCGAATTACGACTTCTCAGTGTCTCTGTTCTTTTCCTGTAAAATGGAGATGATACTACTTACCCTCATTATTATTATTGTGGGAATTAAATAAAGTACATGAAAATGCCAGACACATAGTAGGTACCTAGTAAATTTTAGGGTTTTTTTTCTTCCAGATTCTATGCCATTAGTATTTTAGATTTAAAAGTCTGTCTTCATATATGTATGAGTATAATACTCAGTTTTCTAAATTTAGCATCAGTTTTTGCATCTATAAAACAAAAAGTTCGATAATACTGACTTCACAAGGTTGATTTGAGATAAGTTTTAAAAGGATGTGAAATCACTATGAAATGCTCCTCTTAGTTATTCTCTTTGAAAGAAGTTGACCAAATCTAATCTCCCTAATACTTTCCCTCTTGGAGTGCTGTGGCCGTAATCGAATTGAGAATCCAGGAACCTAGAGGTATTGGGGGAACCCCCACCCCCGATATTCAATGTGGGTTCTTTTCTATTTCCCTAAGCATCGGCTGGTCTGAGAAATAAAGAGAAAGAGTACAAAAGAGAGAAATTTTAAAGCTGGGTGTCCGGGGGAGACATCATATGCCGGCAGGTTCTGTGATGCTCCCTGAGCCGTAAAACCAGCAAGTTTTTATGAGCAATTTTCAAAAGGGGAGGGAGTGCACAAATAGGATGTAGGTCACAGAGATCACATGCTTCTCAAGGTAATAAAATATCACAAAGCAAATGGAGGCAGGGCGAGACCACAGGACGGGGCGAAATTAAAATTGCTAGTGAAGTTTCGGGCACGCATTGTCATTGATAACATCTTATCAGGAGACAGGGTTTGAGAGCAGACAACCTGTCTGACCAA